GTCAAGTTGGGCATATCTTTTGGTAGTCTTAACAGGACAAACAAAAATGTCAAAAGCTCAAGTTTCCAGCAACGCCTCGAATTCAATGGTTGTTTTTATAAGAAAAACGGTCGAAGTAACTGTAATCACGGCAGTCCTATTCGATCACATCCCTGTCGAGTTCAATAAGTCTAACCTCATGGAAATATCGTTTTGGTTCAAAGCCATTGATAAGAAGGAGTGAAAGTAGATAGAACACGATCGCCTCGGAAAACAGGTCTTCAGTTCTGGAATGTAGAACCTTATCATCATTTCCAAAAAGAGTCAATGACCTTCTTTGCTTCTTATCTTAGCCTATCTCGCAAACGTTTTTGTCCTGCTTTCCATCTAGTTCATTACTATCACTTCTTGACAGGTACTTCTTATCTAGTGTCACAGATATTTCATACAGCACTCCCATCATTCAACAGTGGTTTTCTCTGTGGCAATTACATGTAATTTTTACTCTTTTAAGTAGCTTATCTTACCACGCTCTTTAATGCCTATATTCTTCTTTCAATGTTTTATTATGCTTGATTTACTTACTGATTTCTATTACAGTTTTATTTATCAATTCATAAACAGTGAATGTGAGTTACGTGAATGATCTCTTTAAAACGATTTAACACGTAACGTCGAGAAACTCCTTGATTTTCTATACATTCAGCACGTGCATTTCTACTTCTAATATTTGTCATTCTTTACTCATTTTGTTAACTGGATAAAACAGTTTCAAAGACCATGAACACTAGGCATAAAAAAACTCTGTTAATTGTAAGATGTCATCTTTAAACCGCTATTAACCATAAATAAAACATCAAAAATAGCTGGTTCTTATTGTAATGTTAATATAAGGAATTTATAAGTTAGTCGGACCCGCTAAGCTTGCGCGTATAAAATAAGCTTTGTCAAGTAGATCAATGATATCTCCTTTTTGTAGTTTACCAAGAAGTTATAGCGCAAATCGATATATAAGAAGCTTGCTTGTAGTTAAGCACAAAACTACACAATGGGTTATCTGTGCTCTGTCCACCACAGGTATCGAAACCCGGTTTCTAGCGTTGTAAGTTCGCAGACATACCGCTATGCCACTGGAGGGCATATCAGAAATACATAGCACATTCTTACATGCACTGTTTTTAAAGTTAAACAACACTAATTATTCATTCTCTTGTCCCGTAAACAACACAAGACAAGTATTTTTCTTGCCATGCTTTGAGAATTGAGCGCTATAGTCTATACCTGTAATACACAACAAGTTTTCTGCATTAAACATAGTGGCATTATTCAACATTAGATAATTACATTTTGATTTCTTATCTCTAGGCGCCCGTTTTTGTCGCCTAGTTACCGCCTAATTTGATTTATTTGTTGAGTGAAATATTACGTTCAGATTTCTTTGCCCTCCTTATTTAAAATACGAAGATTTCTCTTCATAAAAAAACTATCAAATATTTCAATTACTGATTCCTCGAAATGTTCTATCACCCTTGACAACAGTGTCTTATCTTCCTCTCATCATCTTCGGTTCTGTGTCACATATAAAGTAATTGACTTCCAAGCAGACTTCTCCTTGTTAGACGTTTTCTCCCATCAATGATCATATGTTTAATCTACAATGCGTTACTTATTTTCTTTACTAAGCAGTAATTATATTTTATATTGAACACTCCAAATAATGTGAAACCAAAGAATCGGTTCTTTCAAACATGTATAAAAGGTTCTTTTCATTTTCATCCACAGAGCTCTCTCAATGGGGATTATTAGATATTCGTGAGTAGTCTATAGCTCAAATAAACCATTGGCATAAATTAATAAAAATTGTCAAATACAATTAAACAACCGTTTCGCAATCTTACCGAATACGAGTTATGAAAAAAAAACACTGCAAAAACTAAGATTATATGAAGTCTAATGAAAAATAATTGCAAAAACATTAAAGTTAATTGTAAAGTGCGAACTGTTTTGTTTATTTGCAGTTAAGCACAAAGCTTCATAATGGGCTATCTACGTTGTGCCCACGACGTGTATCGAAAGCCGACTTTTAGCATTATAAGCCTTCGGACTTAAGGCGGTAATAAATTCATGTTGCACCATTTTCAGAAGTTCAAAAATCGAGTTTTCTTGTGGAAATTTAACAAAAACGTTGTTCAAACTGTTTTTTAAATGGTTTTAAAATAGTGTCATGAAAATAAAGTATGAGAGTGGTACAGTCTTCGGTAACGTAGTAACCTTAAATTCAGCAACTAGCAAAGATCGAGATGGCAAAAATACAGACTTGGAGTGATAATATATTTACACGGTCTGGACTCACCCGTTAGCTATTAAAATAAACAGGTATTTTATTATACTGGTGAGCCGAATGCGGCTTAATAGTTAACATGCCGGAATGATAAATCGCGGTTACCTGGTTCGCGTCCCGTTATGACAAAATAAATAAATAAGTCGCGCTCCGGACGTTGGGACTGTCGGTGGATTATAAGAGCGACGGTCAAATCCCTACTCTTTGAGTAAAGTAGCCCACGACGTAGCGGTAGGTAGTGTGGACTACTTGCCTTACCTAGCACAGATAACTCTCGAGTAGCTTTGCGCGAAAATCAAGAAGCAACAACCGTTCCGATTTTATTTCAGGAACATAAAGGTCGTTTGTTGGCAGTGTTAATAGTCAACTTAAGACAATTAAATACCGGAGGTTGTTGTATTTATCACTAATTAAACACAAAAGTAAAAGGTAGTTTGCCTACAGCATGTTAAACTAAGTACTTACACATCGAACACGTTAATATGTAGAAGGCATCTTGATTTGTTAAATGCATATTTTATACATTATCACTGCCTTAGTTTTAGTTTTAGTTATGGCGACTTTTGTATGCATTTAACAAGACTTCAAGCTCTACTGAGGCGTCACCTACAGACAACGGATTATATTTATTTGCTCTCGATATTGAAGACAGTTAATATTTTCTATAATTCGTAAGTTAACGGAACAAGTTATTTAAGCTCCATGTTGAGAAGAGAATGAATAATCTTGTTTGTGAGAGTAGGCATATAGTTTAAATATTTCGTATTCAATTGTATAGTTATGTGGATAACATTGTCTCAAACGGTTTATAACGTAAACAAATTAAATGTGTTATTAACATTTTAGACGCCAAATTTAAGCATTTTTTCAAAAGTCCAATTACATGTTCCAAACAGTTTTCTGTTGCTCGCGGAATATATGTATGTATTTACTTTAGGAGCTTTCGTAGTTTCCTATTTTATAAATAAGTCAATCACTTCTGTGGTTTCTTCCTAAGTTATATATACTTAAACCTTCTATATTAAACACAACGAATGCTTCACCATCATCATGAACAAACCTTTAGCAATCACGGTTCACCATGGTTATTATCCCTTTTCTTATATATGGCTTCATTCTGTAAGCTTTAGATGACATTAGGGTAAGCTGCTGACTGATGACAAACTGAATTCACACTTCACAAGATACAGTTAGCTTTATCGTATACAGTATTTGGATAATCATTATTTTTTCATATAACTCAAGAAGATACACACGGCTGGATGTCCACAAAAGATCCACATTTTGTACATTATTCAAATTAGTGAGTCTCAATATGTGCTGATAATACTGAGTTTGTAATTATCATATTTTCGAATAATTCAATTTAAACCGCTACGGACTTAGCATTTATTGGGCTGAATAACTGGATTACTTGCAGAATAAGTACCTGAAAGTTTCTAATTTTTGAGGGACATAAACTTTACTGTATGAAAAAATGATGAAAGTAAAAAAAAGAGAGCAAGTAAGAGATTCAAGTGTATCATTAAACCAAACAAAATACCGAAGAAAAAAAGAAAAATTATTGTATATGATCATGTCTATATTTACACATTATTCTATTAATAAAAAATTAAATACAAACACTTTATACTTCAAAACCCCAAAATGTTACACTATATTAGCATGTCATAAGTTGTTATACTGTATTAGCATGTTATAAGTTGTTACATTATATCAGCATGTTTTAAGTTGCTGTACTAGATTAGCATGTTTTAAGTTGTTGTACTAAATTAGCATGTTATAAGTTGTTACTTTATATCAGCCAGTTTTAAGTTGTTGTACTATATTAGCATGTTATACGTTGTTGCACTGTATTAGCAAGTTATAAGTTTGCATTATTTTAGCATACTATAAATTGTTGCGCTATATTAGCATGTTATAATTTGGTACACTATATTAGCATGTTATAAGTTGTTGTACTATATTAGCATGTTATATATTGTTGTACTTTATTACTATGTTATAAGTTGTTGCACTATATTAGCATGTTATAAATTGTTACATGATATCAGCATGTTTTAAGTTGTTGCACTATACTAGCATGTTATTCATTGTTGCACTGTATTAGCAAGCTATAAGTTTGCATTATTTTAGCATAATATAAATTGTTGCACTATATTAGCTTGTTATAAATTATTACATTATGTCAGCATGTTTTAAGTTATTGCACTATGTTAGCACATGTTATAAGTTGTTACAATACATTAGCATGTTATAAGTAGTTATACTATATGAACATGTTAGAAGTTACTACACTATATAAGCATGCTATAAGTTGTTGTATTAAGTAGAAAACTACGCTGAAAGATAGATAGCTTCCTGGTATTTAGATTAAGAATTTTAGTTTCAGGAAATATTTTTATCTGATGAAGATAAAATATACAATCCTTCCTTTTAGTCCTAAGTCACAAAATACACAGTCGAATTGAAATAAAGCCTAGAACATTTGGGTCATTTATAAAATTGCTTAGATTACACGTATAGATGAGAATTAGAGTCTAAAGGGTGTGATTATGAAAAATTCTTAGTCCCCTAGGAAGATTAGCACTAATAATGAGGCAATGAAAGTTGTCGCCCTCTGAGAGTATCGGCGTCTTAAATCTTGATGGAAACTTGATAGATATAAACTTGTACTGACCTGAACTGTCGTTGGTCGTAGTGGCGCCCTTTTGGAAGCCTGTTGTTGAGTTCTAAAACAAACGCAGGTGGAATAAGGTATCATGATATCAGTAGCATTTACTAGGCTTAACCTTCAGACCTTAGGTTGTGTCAGAGATTCTGCTTTTCAGAAACTGTCAATGCGAAGCTGATTTTAATTCACTGCTGAACAAAACTACAAGTTTTCTAAACCAAACTCCTCTTGCCTTTCTTGCTTTAAGAAGAGATAGATACTAACGTCTGGTACTTTCTGCAAGGTCGGGTTAAGCAAGGATTGGTGCAAGCCGGGTTCTCGAAGCAGACTGACTGTGATGGTGTACAGCTTTCCATGTACCCCACGCGCCCGTCGCGTCACAAGGTTCAGCTCGGCTTCACAGGGCCCCGGTTTGATTAAACAGCTACGGCTACATTTCGCGTGACGCGTGAGCTCAATACACCAGCAAGGTGGCTGGAAAAGCCACTATTCAATATGAAGAAAGACACGGACTGCAGATGTTGTAAACTGTTAACCCTGATAGCTATCTATTAGGCACAAGAAAAAAAAAGAATATAAATTAACTTACAAGAAAAAGAGACGCTTTCTGTCAAGCCTGGATGATATTCACTGAAATGAATTGTAATCGCTCTCTCTCCATTTATTACATATATTTTCAGTACAAGTTTTGTTTTTACATTGTATATTATTCACTTGACTACGTCAGTTTTTTGTTTCTACGCCTGAGAATAAGAGATGGGGAAGATAATTAACTAACAGTAAAATTCTCTCACGTCTACTGTAAAATTCTTTAACGCAAGAGAACTTACCGAGCAGGAGGGTTGCTTAGGTTAAACGTACCAAAATTCACGAACTGTGTTTCTTTACCAAAAAGACCAACTTCTTTGTCCAACATTTAACTTTTAAGGTTATTTATAGATATATATAGACTAAACTTTCCCTTATTGTAGCGATTATAGCATTACCTGTGTTGATTTTAATCACACAAATAAAAGCGAAAAACGGTCGGAGATCTAAGCTTTTTATGTCCTCTCGCTGTAAGATACACGCGCTTAACACTACACTGTAGATGTCGCGATGCAGATAAATCCTATTCAAGTCCAAGCTGCTTGTTTTGCCTCATGGCTGTAGATGGCGCTGAAGTATAGGATTTTTTTCAGGGACGACTCAATTTGCACTATGATGGAATATTTTTATGATCTGCTCTGTAGAGGAAACAAGAAACAACGTGCTTTTCAACAATACCCTTTTTTCTGTTCTTTATTAACTAAGTGAAGCTCCCTTATTCTATGTTTTCTCTAATTATATGGTGTTATTTTTTAAAGTAAGTATAATAAATTATGTACTCCGGTGGGATAAAGGTAACTATACAGACTTACAGCTGTAACACACGATGTTCAATTCCTCGCGGTGGACACGCTAGGTAGTCCAATGTGGCTTTATTCGAAATAAAATAAACAAATATAATATATATATATATATATCATTTAGTAAATCAAGTAAAATTTATAAGCCTAAAATAATTGGTATTAATATTAATTGTTTTAATTATTTTAGTTTTAAAAACTTTATGACTTAAAGTATTATAAACTGTTCATGAAAAAGTACTTATATTAAAATCAGCAGAAGGTTCGACTATTTGTATTGTTGCAACTTCTTAACCGAGTTTTTTTTTTTCGAAATGGAGTCGAAGGCCGCCTGGAGGGGGTCATCTGTTTTAACCACTCGCACCAGTAGTATGTTGTCTGTCAGTCAGTCAGTCAATACATACTAAAATGACGTCACATAAGGGACGCTTAACGTT